TGAAATACCTTTCCAGAAAGTCCTGGATCACTTAAATCGGAGCTCTGTACAAAAAGATATGTAAAAAATACTAGTAGTTGTCTAGTATAAAAACGAGTTTAGAAACTTACCAAGAGGAGCAACTTGATCTTCACCAAAAACGAATTTTGTGAGTTGATTTAGTAGAAATCCATGGTTTTTTTTTTTTTTGATGAAACTTCAGCTTCTTGTTCCTACGGAGGAGAGAGAGATAGAGATAGAGAGATAGAGATAGAAAGATAGAGATAGAAAGAGNGATATGTAGAAAATACTAGTAGGTGTCTAGTATAAAAACGAGTTTAGAAACTTACCAAGAGGAGCAACTTGATCTTCACCAAAAACGAATTTTGTGCGTTGATTTAGTAGAAATCCATGTTTTTTTTTTTGATGAAACTTCAGCTTCTTGTTCCTACGGAGGAGAGAGAGATAGAGATAGAGAGATAGAGATAGAAAGATAGAGATAGAAAGAGAGAGAGGTAGATAGTTATTCTTCTTTGTTTCTGAAGAGTAGAAGAATAGGGAGTTTATGGACAGATATGAAATAAAATGGTTCCCCGATTACTAAATATTCTTAGATAAATACAAAAGGTTGGAAACCCAAAACTTAATTATATACTATATTTACTAACAACTCGTCAAAATAATATTAAGTGTTACATATAGCAACACCATGGAACTTCATTGCCAATATTAACACAACCTAAAGTAAGAAATTTTCATATATTGACCATTCTATATTTAGGAAGTGCAAAGTAAAATATTTCCTCGTTATAACAACTGATAATAGAATAAGCTAGTTTAGAAACCATCATAGTCAAATTTATCCACATAAAACTGTCTTAAAAACTTATATGAGTTATTATTATGTGGGTTCAATGAGGACTTACATGTTGAGGAAGCTCGGAATATCATCAATTCCTCCTATCCATTCAACATCAGGACCAAATTTCACTTGGCCATTCAAATCCAAGGTCACATGCACTCCAAGGCCACCAACCTCAGGTATAGGATAAATCAAGTGCTTGAAAGGGGATTTGGTGTTTGACAAGGTGAAGTAGCAACCACGAGCATAGTGAGAAGCAGGAATAATACTGTCAGGTAGGCCCTTCATTCGTTTTGCAATAGCTGGAGCGCTTAAGCCTGCAGAATTCACTACAAGCTTGGGAATAAGAACTAGTTCAGAGTCCAATTCGGACCTCCCATTCCAGTTTGCAATAGCATTGCTCCCCGAAACATGAATTTGAATTTGACTTCCTTCAACATGACCGCCAATAACCACAGTATTGTAAGAGAAAGTCGTCCCGTGACTTTCAGCTTCGCCCTAAACCCACGGTATGGTCATAGTCCTGTCAATGTCATATCAATGATTCTAAAAGGTAAACAAATAATGTAAATCGATCTCTTCTAAGTAAGGAGAAAACTTCTCTTCCTAAGTTCTAAAGGATTAGCTCTTCGAATGTTGATTAGCTAGCAGACAATATGACAACATAATTGGAGACTGAATGGCGAGAAGCAATACCACCAATGATAGCATCAATGAATGGCTATCAACTATTCCTGAGGAAGGTGACCATAAGGCTTTAAGACACTGCAATTCAGGCTCCAGTGTCATAGCTTCATAACCCTCCATCATCCTCAGACCCTCAACCCCGTTCTGAATTCCTCGAGTCATGAGAGCACTCAACTTTGGAATCTCTGATAAACCATTAGCAACTATAAGCTTGCCTATCTGCTTGTATGGAACTTCATGATCTTTGCAATACTTGTTGAGCAATTCTTTCCCTCTAACACAGAAAAATGCCTGAGATGCAGTTTGAAAGTTAAAGCTCATGCGTGGGAGCTCCACACAGTAGAGCTGCATATGATAGTGTTATGAAATTTACAGAACTATTACATTCCACATTCCAATAAAGGCGCCCACTCCATTACAATTTCAAGACAAGAGATCAGCACGAGTAAGATAATAGTTTGCATTGAACTGAGAAAAGATAAGAATGACTATTGTCAAGCCAACTAGCACTAATTTGCATAGTATTGTGCATCTAATATCCATACAGCATATGTGCAAATATGAGTATTGTACATCGAGTATTCAAAATAATTTTCAGGGTTAGCTCTAAATATAGCACTCGATTTGCAGTCATGATAATCAACTATAAGATCAAGCTTGAACTCAAATTGAAATTCAGACACCAGATAGATTAACTATAATCACGTTAAGAGAACTAGTTTCTCCATGCTGCATCCAATTGTATTCCCAGTTGTAGATGTAAAAGAGGAGGAGCAATGCATAACCAGTTAGTTGGACACTCAACTTTTACCACCAAAGCTTAACAGATGCCACTAACTTATCCTCTTCCAAATAAATAGGAACACTCATTTGACTGATTAGCTTTATCAAAATTCAACTTCTCTTCATGCTTAATGAATGATGTTTAGAAACAAGATTGCAGCAGAAGAGAAGAGACATAAATGATTAGCAGAATCAAATCCAAACTTCCAGTCCATGCTTAATTGGGAATGTTTAGAAACAAGATTACATAACAAGAATACGAGAAACTGGATCAATTAGCAGTATCAAAATTCGAACTCTCAGCTTAACTGGCAATGTGTAGAGAAAAGATTAAAGTAAAAAAAAAAAAAAAAAAAAAAAAAAAAAAAAAAGCCAATTCACTAGCAGTATCAAAATTCAACCTTCTAGTTCATGCTTAATGGTGGATAGTTCTAGAAAAAAGACGATAAACTCACTGATTAGCAGTATCAAAATTCAAACTACTAGTTCATGCTTAATAGGGGAATGCTCAAAACAATGTTACAGTAGAAAAGAAGACAACAAAGTGGACTGATTAGCAGTATCAAAATTCAAACTTCAAATTCATGCTTAATTGGGAGTATTTAAAAAGAAGATTACAGTATAAGAAAAACAAAAAACTCGATTGATCGACTTTATCATTCAAATCTTTAAGTTAATGCTTAATGGGGTATGCATAGAGAAAAAAAATTCGCGTTAAAAAATTAATGGGGAGAAGAACCTTGAGAGAATTAGGAGGGTAATAAATGCCAGCATGAATAACTTCACTATTGCGAGAACTAGTACCAGTCCCAAAAGTTGGGGCAGAATCAACCACCAAAACTTCTCTACCATGCTTTACGCTAAGTTCTTTAGCCACTGCTATGCCCACTACACCAGCCCCTATTACCAAACAATCCACCTTCTCCTTTGGAATTGATGATGAGGATAATGGGGTTCTGCTGATATTCTTGAGTTTATGAGATACTGCTTTTGCGATTGAGTTTGTGGGTTTCATCGTCCCCAACATTGACTTCTATATGGCGCTGCGCGGGGGATCTGAGATGATAAATTTTTCCGTTCTCTTTTCTTGTGAAAAAAGTGTATTTTAGGCCCGTATGTTTTTGTTTAAATGAAGCTATCTCAATATATTTCAACTCCACAAAATATTAGAGAAAATTTTGATTTTAGATAGTATTGTAAAAATTGTTTGTTTGATAAATATAATATGTGTCAAAATTCAACCAAATATTTAAGGTGCTATTTGTTTAAAAGAAATGGAAAAGCAATTTTGATTTGCTTAGTGTATTTGAGATATTTAAGTAGCATGTTTTGCAAACTCACCGTAGACATATAAAATTTATTGGTCTAATCCCTACAAAATCTAAATTAAATTCAATTGGGTTAAATAATTAATTTGGGCTTTACAAATTAAATTAGTCCATTTTATTATTTTCGAGCACAAGGTTCTCTTCATCTTAAGGCCTAAACTCGTACCATGTGTTAAGTGACATGGCATGTCCAGTCAAATCCAAAGCTAGCAAGGTGATGCCACGTGTTAAATGATGCGGCAGTCCAAATCAAAAAGTAAGAACCAACCACAGGTTGCCAAATGACATAGGCCAATCAGAATCAAGCAAGAGAATTCATATGTAGCTGGACTGTCCACCCCCTACAACTATAAATAGAGGAGTTATATAACTCTCAAGGGACATTCAGAGTTGGAGAAAAATACTCTGCAATTGGTGAAGTCATCCACAAATAGAGAGATCAATCATCAAGTGCTTAGTTCTTCAACAAAGGAGTGACCAATGGAGGTCTTCCCGGAGATCAACCCGTAACAACAAAGTGTCGCTCGACGTTCTTGGCGATTAAATACATCACAAGGAGGTCTGCATCATCCTACATTCGAGAAAGACGTTTCTAAAGCCCTCGAATCACGGAGAATTTTAGAGAGGAGAATCAAGAGATACATAGAATTATACTCACAAATATTTATCAATAAAATCACTTTTTCTTTATATTATTTTTGTTGCAGTTTATTTTTCGTACTACGAAAATTTATTGTGAACAAATTTTGGCATGCCCAGTGGGACCAATTCTGCCCTTCATCTCTCTTTCTTGCAAGTTGAATACTACAAACTTCAGATCTACTGCTACAATGGCCTTCTGCAAGTGTGATATTTCATGCAAAGATGCTACTGTTGCCATATCCGCTGAGCTCAGTCATGTTGGCCCAATCACTCGAAGCAAGTTCAAGGGTAGTGGCTTGGATGGATCCGAATACTTCCCATCCTTGGAGATGGCAAAGAAGAGCAGATCTCATATGACGTTCGCAATAGCAATCTCTGGGGGCAACACCCCATTCTCGTTGTTTGACGAACTTTCTCAAACAACCTCAAACCTTGGCGAATTTGAGAATTTGGTGGATTCTTCAGTTTCAACGAAAGTCAATGCCTTGATGACTGACGCAACTAACGTGGATGAAAAGTTTGCCATGATGGAACAGACCATAGAGATCTTGAAGAAATCCGTTGAAGACAAAGACCTTCAAATCACTCAACTCATGAACAAATTGGAGGCCTATGCACCTGGAGAGTCGAGCCATGTCTCTCCTCGTTCACTTGTCTTCACCTCCCAAAAAAACAGATGTTGAGGAATCATTTGCAAAGTTAAACATTCAAAAGGAAAAGCAATCCACTTCAGTTGTGGCATTATATGTCCAACAATTGCAAGACATGGTAACAAACACAATCAGAGCTCAATATGGCGGACCATTGCAAAGTTCGTTATACTACTCTAAGCCTTATACTAAGAGGATTGATTGTTTAACCATGACAACCAATTATCAATCACCAAAGCTGCATCAATTTGATGGCAAAGGGAACCCAAGGCAACATATTGCCCACTTTGTCGAGACTTGCAGCTATGCTGGAATGCATGGTGACCTTTTGGCAAAACAATTTGTTCGTTCTCTAAAAGGGAATGCATTTGACTGGTATATTGACTTGGAGCCTGAGTCTATTGATAGCTGGGAGCAACTTGAGAAGGAATTCCTCAATCGTTTTCACAGTACCCGAAGAATTTTAAGCATGATAGAGTTGGCAGGTACCAAGCAAATGAAGGACAAGCCCGTGGTAGATTACATTAATCGTTGGAGGGCATTAAGTTTGGACTGCAAAGATCGCCTTTCAGAAATATCTGCTGCGGAAATGTGCATTCAAGGAATGCACTAGGGCCTTTTGTACATCCTACAAGGGATCAAACCGTAAACTTTTGAAGAACTTGCAACACGAGCGCACGACATGAAGTTAAGCATCGCAAGTCATGGAAAAGCATCTCCATTTGCTGATCAAAAGGAGTTCAAGAAAAATGTTGCATCAAATAACCAAACCAAAGAATCAATAGCAGTGAAAGCAACTTCTGTGAAGGTTACTACTAAGCAAAAAGTGAAGGAGGATAAGACCCTGAGTCATTATCCCAAAGAGGAGAAGCGTCATCCCACCTTGAAAGAATTAGAGGCGAAGGTTTATCCATTTCCAGATTCAGACGTACCCACAATCCTTGATGAACTGATGGACAGGAAAGTCATCGATCTCCCTGAATCAAGAAGGCCAAAGGAAATTGGCAAAGTAGGCGATCCGAAATACTGCAAGTTTCATCATTCCATTAGCCACCCTACAGAGAAATGCTTCGTCTTGAAGGAGAAAATCATCATAGACATGGATGAAGCAGCAGAAGCAAATCATGCAAGTATCACGGCTCAAGGAAAAGACGTGTTCAAAGTTGCATAACGTGTCAAGCACTGCCTTCTTACAATTTGAAAGTTTCGAGCCAGTTGAAGTTGATCTTCCAAGGAAAACTCTTGAAGGTTCACTAGAGCTAGACAATCACTCTAAAGACAAAGACGATGAGGGTTGGATTCTAGTCACTCACAAGAAGCGAAAACATCAGGCAGTTTTGAGGCTACGAATTCCTAATTCAAGAGCGATGATGAGCAATGCATATAGGCTACAATCACCAAGAAATATCAAATTTTCTACTAGCAAGAAGATTAACAGTGCATTATCGTCGAAGTTCCGGAAGCCCATCACATTGCATGAATTCTTTCCTGGAAAATTCCTTCATGGAGGTCACGTTGGTGCAACTCATGTAGTTTCTAGTATTGACGAAACAACGGAAAGCAACGATGAGCCTACTCCAATGAAAATACATGAACATCATGATAACGGAAAAGTTGTCACATGTTATGCAATAATTTCATTCACAGATAATGACTTGTTGCTGGGGTCTAAGCCACATAACAAACCTTTATTTGTTGTAGGGTCCATTCAAGAACAACATCTTAATCGCATACTTGTTGATGATGGTTCGGTTGTCAACATCATGCTAAAGATGGTGCTAAAAAATCTTGGGATCTCTATCGATGAGCTATCCAAAAGCAACCTAACAATCCAAGGTTTCAACCAAGGAGGACAACGAGCCATAGGTATGATCTGCATAGGATTATCCATTGGTGAGATGAATTCAAACACCCTGATTCACGTCATAGATGCTAAAATATCATACAACTTGTTGCTTGGACGTCCTTGGATTCATGTGAATGGGGTGGTATCATCTACTTTGCATCAATGTCTAAAGTACATAAGAGATGTGACATAGTCAAAATTGATACAGACATCAATTCTTGTGAACTTCATACTCTGCAGACGCAAAATTCTACCGAGATTCTTGTGAACCGAAAGTGGAGAAACCATCATCAGATGACAAAGATGATGTCAAGTCAGAAGAGGAAAATGAGTCTCAATGGAATACCACCAAGCTGTCTAAGAAGGGAACGGAAGAAGTCTCTATTAAGCTATCATCATCTCAAGGTGACATACAGACAAAGACTGAGGAGCATCTGGTTTTTCGCTATGTTCCACATGAGCATCGAAAGAAAGGGAAACCTTTGCTATAGCAATGTACTCCAAAGAAGCAAATGAGTCACAAAGATATCCAGCATTTGAAGGAGCATATGACTGTCCTAGTTGCACAAATCCCATCCGTGACTTGTGAGTCTGCTAAAAGCAATCTCCAAGCTGATAAAATAAAAGGGCACTATGATCCTAAGGCCTTCATACTGCTTGAAAAGTCTGGTTATGACTTCTCCAATCCATCACAACTAGGAGAACTCAAATACAAAGTCACTCGTGAAAAGATACATGGGCTCAATGAGTCCCAAATGAAGTTGAGAAAGCAAGGGCACTACGTCGCCACTCCAAAGTTTGGGTTGGGGTTCAGCTTGGTAGAGCCTCTTCAAATTTCATCAAAAAGAAGCAAAGAGATAGCTTCATCACAATACACCTTGGTAGAGGATATGAAGAAAGTTAAGGGCAAGAAAATAAAATAACGGGCTTCAGTATTTGATCGCATTAGAGGCTCAACCTCTCTAGTCTCGGTGTTTGAAAGGCTAAGTCACAAAGGCGAACGTGTATCTTCCAAATATCTAAAAGAAGTTTCCACTACCTCAAAGACCTCTATCTTTTGTCGCCTGGGGACCAGAAGGAAGTCGCCATCTAGAAAGATACTGTCAAAACATAAGGAGCAAGTCCATGAGGAGCGGGATCATTTTGAAGTTGTTGCTGACAAAGAAATCTGTAGTGATTTCCCATCACGTATGAAGAGGAAGTCTATTTTGTCAATATCCACATATGGTCCGCTGAAGGTGCAAAGGAGAACCATTGTTTACACTTGCCAGCCTCATAAAGAATCAAAGAAAGAGAAAGAAGCCATGCCGACCATCCAAGGAAGTTAAAGAGAAAAGTCAGGTTTTGTGAAAACATCCGGTCACATAACTGTGGAAGATAGCCCATGCCTTAACATTGATGATGAAGTACATGAGGCTCCCCCTCAACTAGAATATGACAGACAATCAACTGTGGATGAGCTTAAGGAACTCATTTTAGGTACTCCGAAAGATCCACACCTCACCTTCATTAGTGCGCTTATTACGCCTCAAGAGGAGGAGGAATACTCCAAGTTGTTGACCAAGTACAAAGATGTCTTCGCTTGGTCGTATAAAGAAATGCCTGATCTTATTTCTAAGGTAGTTGTTCATCATTTA